TGTGGCTCCTACGGGTTTTCTTCTCCTCCATCACTACAACTGGCAGATGTGGGTTTGCTGCTTGTGTACTCTTCTCGTGCGCCCATCCATGACACCCGCTCGGGCTGGGGGAGCAATGCGGTCCCCAGGACCGGCTGCATGGGATGGGCACATCTCCCACCCTGATGGGCCGGTGCGGTTGTGCCTCTTGTGCTGTGCTGGCCAACAACTGGACTTTCCTGCTGTGTGTTGTTGCTGTGGGTTTCACTTCATTGTCCTCCGACGGTTTTTCTTGTGAATGGGCTGCCATGTTAATGAAATCCCTCTGGGTGTTTTTCTGTAATAAACTGTGTTGGTCCCAGCCCGGCGCGCTCTGTTGTCATTCTCACAATGGGTTTTTTGGCTCCCTGGTGCAGCCAGCAAGAGAGTTTGGGGTCCCTGCTTGGGACCTCCCAGGTTTTATGGTGAAGGGGTGGGGGTGACGAGAAGGAAAATGCCCTTTTGGGATTTAAGGGAGTTCAGAAAATGTAATAAAAGCAGCTACCTGGGAACTGGAAACCTCTGGGAGAGGTGGGCTTCCAGAGTTGAGAGATGTGCTGTGATACAGCTGCCTCCCTCTGCTTCGTGAACAGGCTTTTATTGTAACCTGGACTCGTGATGAAGTCCTGGATAAAAATACAATTTGGCAGAAGACTTTTGTCAACTTGATCTTCTCCCAGCCAACAGGTGGGAGGCAGCAAAAGCTTTTTAGAGGAGATTTATTGCTGATGAAGTACTGGGTTTATCCAAATAGCAACACTGCAGTTCTGGTGTTAGCTCCTCCCTGCCAATAAGGAGAACAGATGGGTTAAGGGGAAGCAACAAATTCTCCATCCGTCACCAAATATAGCCAAGGAATGTCCATAGGCCCCAGGGCAGCATCTCTGCTATGGGTGTTCGTTTAAGGGACGGATGGCCCTCAGCAGAGAGTGTTCTTGTGCAGCCTTGCTTGCTGGAGTGCCTTCTGCCATGCCCATCCCCAATCCTGCATGTTCTTCCACCACATTTTCCTGGAGGAAAAATCAAATTCCAGCAGTTATAAGGGCCATGTCGCACCAGTGAAAGCCCAGGTGGGCCCGCCCAGCCCTGAGAGGTCAGGATGTCTACGCCAAAGCCAAGAGCTGCCGCGCATGTTCATGCAAAGACCACCCTGAGCCCTTGACTCACTCTTGGGGACCAGCATTGGCACTGGGTCCAAGGAGCCAACAGGTCATGGAAAGATGTGGGACAAAGCCATGCAGGGAGAGAAGGAGGAGGTTTGTGCAGTTGGGTCTGTGATGTCTTGTCGTTGGTTTGCTGCAAGCCTGAGTTCTTGTTTCTGTTGCCTGTTTTCTGAACTTTTTCCTTCATCAGGCATTGAAGGGCTTTGCAATGAGTGTGCTTTAAAATAATGAACATGGAGAAGAAAGCGGAGGCAGAGCTGATGAATTATGCTGCCACTCTGCTATTGTCAGCGCAGATGTTCACAAGGTAATCATGGCCTTTGAATAGCAAGAACTTCTTTTCATGACGAATCCAGGATTTAACCCCAAGAACTTGTGGAGCTTCTTGGAGAAAGTGTGACACCCCTGATGACCAACTGCATGGCAGAGAGGTCAGGCAGTGTGGATTCGACTCTCTTGGTCCTCATGTACATAGGGTAAGTCATTACATCTCCCTGCCTCAGTTTCCCCATCACCTTAACAGAAATCAGAATGATCCAGTCTGGAGGATGACTCCAGCTCCTTGCAGAAGAAAAGCAGAAATCAGGAGTGCTCTTAAGTGCAGAGAAACTCCCTATCTCTGTGGTGATGCTTGCATGCCCAGCAGTAGGTCCCAGTGTGTAAGGCTGTCCCAACATGGTGTTGGCCATGAGGGGTCCCAGGCTGTGCTGGTGAGGACTCCACCTCGTCCCTGCAGCACATTTAGTTTTACGTCCCTTCTGGAGTGCAGAACAGGAGCCAATAAATGCGAGCACGGACCTGCAGCCATCCCAGGAGGCTAAAATGTCAGGGCAGGGGACCTGGCGACAGGGTGACAGAAACACCCAGAGCTGGAAGAATAGATAAGAGGACCTGGCGGCAAGAGAACAAGCAAAGGGCACTTGCTATCAGTGCTAGTGGGGCTGTGCCAGGATTTGAACAGCCTGACCATCTCGTTCCTTTGACACCGCTATTTATAGCAGTGTTTGCTGATGCCTCTGTCACCGGAGCCTAAAATGGTTCCCCTGTGTGCACCCTGGGCAGCTGGGCTCAGCCATCCCGCGCTGGGGAGGCCACCAACGAAGCAGTGACTCAACGGAGCGCGTGTGAAGCTGCTCATCGCCCTGCTGACGGAGGAAGCCGGCGTCTCCCTCTGCCAAGAGGCAGCTCCATGCTGGGCCAGCTCCTTGGAAGATGCACCAGACGGTTTCTGTTTAAGGCCCCATCCCCTTGCCAGAAAGAGTCAGTGGGGTACATAGACCCACCTTCCACCTCGCTTCTTCCTTCTCCCCAGAACTGGGGCTTGTCCAGCTCTGTCTGGGAGCCAGTGGTTTCCACAGCTTGATGTTGGTCCTTAAGGTAGCTGTGAGGATAGCTCTGTGTGTCACCCACGCTGGTGGAAATAACCCTTTGGTTACTGGGCTGGAGCAAAATGCAAGAGGGCAAAGATCTTGCAACTGCAGAGCAAATAATGCCCCGTTCCCACCTGGAGATTCACCTCTTAAAAAACCGCTTCGTTTTCCCAGTTCTGCCCAGGCCAGTGAGCAATGGAGGCGGAGATCTCTCTGTCCTGGCATTTTCCCATTCCTGCAGCGAAAGCTTCGTTACCAGGGCTGCACTTCAAAGCTTTGCTGGCAGTGCTATGCTGGATAGGACCATGCATGTAATCCCACCAAGGAGGAGAGGAGGGGGTCTCCGCAGCCCTGGGGCTACAGGTGCCAGGCAAGTATGGCTGCACCCGCCCGGGAGCGATGGCCAGCCCCACGCTGCTGTGAGCTTGGCACAACTGGTGCCTAATTTTTTGATTGAACGATCTGAGAGGAGATGTGCATTAGTGTTTAAAAAAAACCCAACCAAATAAAATCCTCAGGGATAGCATCCTGCACCCAGGATGGAACTTCTGCTTGTTTTCTCTTAGGGCAAATTGCATGGTTATCCCTTCTCTCTGTGGCAAAAAGGGGATGCAGAGCCCAGGACCGGCTCTGAACTTTTCAGCTTTACTCGGTGGGAGCTCACGTCCT